TCCAGGGCCTGCGGATGGCGGGGGGCTGAGCTCTCAGCCCAGGTCTCCTCCTCTGCATGGGAACCGCCACCAAGGGCCGGCAGATGGTCGCTCGCCCTGCACACCGCTGACTCGGCAACCTTCTCTCCCCAGCCTCCCTTGTCAGCTCCGAACCTTGAACCCCCCGCGCCCCAGACAGCGACACCCTGACCTGGCACAGATCAGGAACAGCCCAGTCCATCAGCAACTTTGGTGGGATGGGGGGTGGGGGATAGGTGCAGCTGGAATCTATTTATACATCCCTGATAGGCAGGAAGATGATAGCCAGACAGAAGGGAAGGTTGTTCAAGGATTTGGCGAGTCAGCAGCCCGGGTCCCTGAGTGGGCTGATGGGAGGCATCGGGGCGGGGCTGGGAGCCTCTGGCCGACCCTGTCTCCCCGCCTGCATGATAGGTGCCTTTGCTGGTTCTGCCCCGCCCCTGCCCTCTCACTGGCTCAGGAGGCACCCGAAACCAGGGGAAGGGGCAACGTGACAGCCCACCCAGCTTCCCGGACGCAGCCCTAGGGCCAAGCCGACCCCTAGGGGTAACTGAAGAAATTTTGAACACAATTTGGTCATTCTCAACCTCAAGAATTCAACTCAAAACGTACCTGGTGCAGGCTTCAGCTCCTGAGTACCGCTCCCTGAGGTGACGTCACTCGGGCTGTACTGTGCCTCAGTTTCCCCACCTGTGAGGATAGAAATTTCACACGCCGGCTTGACCAACGAGGCCTCCCAGAAACAGTAACAGAAAACAGCCTTCTAGCCGGCGCCGCGGCTCAATAGGCTAATCCTCCGCCTAGCGGCGCCAGCACACCGGGTTCTAGTCCCGGTTGGGGCGCCGGGTTCTAGTCCCGGTTGGGGCGCCGGATTCTCTCCTGGTTGCCCCTCTTCCAGGCCAGCTCTCTGCTGTGGCCTGAGAAGTGCTTGGGCCCTGCACCCCATGGGAGACCAGGAGAAGCACCTGGCTCCTGCCATCGGATCGGCGTAGTGCACCAGCCACAGCGGCCATTGGAGGGTGAACCAATGGCAAAGGAAGACCTTTAAAAAAAAAAAAAAAAAACAAACAGCAAAACAGCCTTCTGTGGGCTGAGGGTAGCAGCCTGGTGAGGGTGGGGGCCAGGAGGAGCCCTGGTTTCAGAATCAGGCAGATTTGGGTTCAAATTCTGCACCTGCCTCTTCCTGTCTGCGTGATCCTGGGCAAATTTCTTACTCTCTCTGAGCCTTGGGAACAATAACCAGTCTGCTCTCCAGCCAGCCCTCTGCGGTAGGTACTGTCTCTGTGGCACAGAGAGGGAAATTCACTTGCTAGGTCACACAGCTACTAAGAAGCAAAGGCAGAATTCAAACCTAGGTAGTCCGACCGTGGTCTGTGCTCCTAGTCACTATCCCACCCTTCCCTGCTTCCCAGGAAAGCCAGAAGAGCAGAATTCCAAGCCTGGCCCTGCCAGGAACTTGAGACACATGGCCACGGGGTCTCAACTCTGAAATGAGGGCGAAGACCTTGATGATACACAGGTAGCAATACCTTTGATGTAGTGTAGCTTAGATAGATAATTTTAGGTTCACAGGCTGGAAGCCGCACCTCCTTTGCTCCATGTTGCCACGTTCATCTCGTGTCAATCAGGGGACCCCTCCCCAGGAAGTACCTCCCCTTACCCTGGACATGGGGGTGGTACCACATAAACACTTCCATTTTTCCTAAGTGCATAAAAAGCTGGGGAGACCGGACGCTCCATCTCTCCTCCCGTGAACTCAGGATAAGCCAGGCAGGGTGTAATAATTCCCTTTCTTTTGCCCCATTCTCCCGAAATAAAGCCTTATCGGGCCTGTGTATTTTTCTCACTTTGTAAATAAAGTTTATCACACTGCATGCTGTGTTTGGGTCTGTACTTAGAATTCTTCTCTAAGTAAAAGACAAGAGTCTGGAAAATTAACTTAGGACCAAACCCAACCCATAATACCTTGGCCTCCAAGTTGCTTCTTTCTTTTTAAAATTTTTATTTAATTTGAGATAAAGAAAGCTCCTGCCCACTGGTTCATTTCTCAAACGCTTGAAAGGGCTGAGGCCGGGCCAGGCCGATCGTAGGAACAAGTTTCCCAATCCACATCTCCCACAGGGGTGGTGGGGACCCCAGCACTTGAGCCAGCACCTGCCCCTCTCAGGGTGCAGGAGAGCCAGGCAGGACTCAACCCCGGGGCCTGGTGAGATTGTTCCTGAGACGCACCTGTCTTCTGCAGGGCTTGGTTACTCTGTGAGATACCCCAGCATCCTTCCAACACACCCCTCCTGCACTGAGCTGCCTAGTGCTACCATTGGTCACTTACATCCCAAACAGACCCACCTGCCTAACATCTTTGTCTCAACATTACGATGCTATTAATGTGGACTAACTAGTTATGTCCTTTCTGCTTGCTAAATCTTTTTCACTTTAGCTGCTATCAGTTCAAATCTCTGTCTAAAGTTCCTGTGTTGCCATCCTAACCCAAGAGGTGATGAAGTCAGCAGGTGGGGGGCTGGGGAGGTGACCAGGTAATGAGAATGCAGCCCTGGTGAGTGGGATTAGTGAGCAAGATTCATGTCCCTAGAGACGAGGCTCAAGAAAGACCACTTTGTACCTTTTTAGAAAAAAAAAATTATTTGAAAGGCAGAGAGAGACATTTTCCATCTGCTGGTTCAGTCTGCAAATGCCAGCGATAGCCAAGGCTGGACCAGGCTGAAGCCGGGGGCCAGGAACTCTCAAGTCTCCCACATGGGTGGCAGGGACTCAAGTATGTGAGCCAGTACCTGCTGCCTCCCAGGCCATGCAAGAGCAGGAAGCTGGAATTGGAAGTAGATGTGCGGGCATCGCAAGAAGCATCTTAAGCTGCTGGGCCAAATGCCCACCCACTCCTTGTCCCTTTTGCCATGTGAGGACACAGTGAGGAGGCACCGTCTTGGAACCAGGAAGTCGGGCCCCCACCAGGTACCCGATCTTGGACTTCCCTGTATCTGCATCAGTGAGCAATGAATTTCTATTGTTTTTAAGCCACACAGCTTATAATAATTCTTAAGCAACCCTAACAGACTAAGACACTTCCCATGAGGGCCTCCTTGTCTAGTTCGTGGATCAGAGTGACTCCCAACTCTGCCTGGTAGTAGGACAGCAGCCACAGAGAGTGTATACACTAAGGAACAGAATTGTGTGCCAGGAAAACTTGATTTTACACTAAACAGGCAGAAGGCTGGATTTGGCACCCAGACTGTAGTTTGTCACCTCTTGGTCTGGTTGGAGCTCAGACTGGGATCCTCATTTCTCCTTGTTAAACCCAATCTGTGAGCTTCAGTGGTGTTGTTTCGTATCCAGAGTCTGTCACCCAGCATAGCAGCTCGGTGCACACTGAATGAGCTCTCATATCTTAATGGGCCATCAGTTGCTAAGCAGGTACCTGGGGGTGACTGTGCTGCTCTCCTGGGTAAGAGCACTGTGGAGAGAGCCCAGGGCTGCAGTGGGCGGGGTGCCCACAAGACGCTCTGCTCACCCCCTGCAGCACAGCCTCTGCTGCTGGGGGGGCCTGCACCCTCACTTCAGACTCAGGGAGGCCGTCTCCTGCCGGTTTCCCTGCAGAATTGCTTTAGCCAGCACCCTCTGTGATTCAGTGTGACGGCCCTAGATCTGGCTATGTTACTGTATCCTCTTGTGATCTCTGGGCTGGGTGTACCTTAGCGATCCAGTCCAGTACTCTCTTGCTTCATTGGGGAGAAAAATGAAGCCCAAGAGGGGAGCAACTTGCCCAAAGGCACTGAGGACATCAGAGGAAGAAGCAGGTTGAAATCCGGGTCCTGTGCCATGCAAGCCCAGGGGCCCCCTTGTCAGCCTGGCTGCAGGGAGGACAGGAGGCTGGGGAAACTTGCTGGCCAGCTTGCCGTTAAAATGAACAGAAGTTTGCAATGGGCATTAGACCTAGCAGTTAGACACCCAAATCCCATATTAGAATGCCTGGGCTCAGTTCTCAGCTCCATTCTCAATTTCAGCTTCCTGCTAATGAGCGCCCTGGGAGGCATCAGGTGATGGCTCACGTGAGTGATTTCCTTGCTCTCAGCTTCAGCCAGCTGTTGCCGGTCAATTTGACAAGTGAAGCAGCAGATGGTAGCTCTTTCTCGTCTGTCTGCTTCTCAAATTAAAAAAAAAAAGTGTAGTTTTTCCTGGTATAACAATTTGAATATTCCCTCCAAAATCATTTGGAATTTAATTGCTGATGCTGGCACTGTGGTGCGGAGGGTTAAGCCACGTCTTAAAATGCTGGTATCCTGTATTGGAGTGCTGGTTCAAGCCCTGGCCATGACACTTCTGATCTGGTTTTCTGTTTGTGCACGTGGGAGGCAGGAAGGCAATGGATGATGGCTCAAGTACTTGGGACTCTGCCACCACATAAGAGACTGGGATAGAGTTCTGGCTCCTGGGTTTTTTTTGTTTGTTTTTAAATATTTATTTATTTATTTGAAAGAGTTACAAAGAGACACAGAGAGGGAGAGATAGAGAAAAACATCTGCTGGTTCACTCCCCAAATGGCCGCAACTGTTAGAGCTGGGCTGATCTGAAGCCAGCCTGGCTCCTGCTTTTGATCTGGCCCAGCCCTGGCTGTTGCAGGCATTTGGCGAGTGAACCAGCAGATAGAAGATCTCTCTCCCTCTCTCTTGTCACTCTGCCTTTCTAATAAATAAATTAAAAAAAAAAAAACCTTATAGTGTATATTTTAAAAACCCTAAAATTTAATTGCCATTGTAACAGTATTGAGGTGGACCTGGAAGAGGTGATTTGGGCCATGAAGGCTACGCCCTCATGTGTGTTTAAAGCCTTTTTTAAAAAAGGCTTTAGGGAGTGGGCATCTGGCACAGCTGTGAAGTTGCGTCTTGAGACGTCCACACCCCCATCTCGGAGCACCTGGTTTGAGTCCTGATTCCTTAGCTTTTTATTTTTTTATTTTTATTTTTTGACAGGCAGCGTGGACAGTGAGAGAGAGAGACAGAGAGAAAGGTCTTCCTTTTTGCTGTTGGTTCACCTTCCAATGGCCGCCGCGGCCGGTGCGCTGCGGCCATCGCATCGCGCTGATCCGAAGCCAGGAGCCAGGTACTTCTCCTGGTCTCCCATGTGGGTGCAGGGCCCAAGCACTTGGGCCATCCTCCACCGCACTCCCAGGCCACAGCAGAGAGCTGGCCTGGAAGAGGAGCAACCGGGACAGAATCTGGCACCCCAACCGGGACTAGAACCTGGGGTGCAGGCGCGCAGGCGGAGGATTAACCAGGTGAGCCGCGGCGCCAGTTCCTTCGCTTCTTATTGAGCTTCCTGCACACTCTGGGAGGCAGCAGGGGGTGGCTCAAGTACTTGAGTCCCTGCCACTCACATGGGAGATCCAGGTGGGGTTCCTGGCTCCTGGCTTTGGCCTAGCCTAGAGCTGGCAACTATAGGCATTTGGGGAGTGCACCAGCAGATGGAAGATCTCTCTTGTCTCTGTCTCTTTGACTTTTAAGTAAAATGAAAATAAATAAATAAAACTTGTTTAAAAGTCAAAAAGGACTTTCCGAGTCAGCTCCCTCTCCTCGCTCTTCAGCCATGTGAGGAACGGTGGTACCCTCTCCAGGGGATGCAGCCTGGAAGTGGGAACAGAGAAAAGAAAAAGGGAAATATGATGGCAGCAACACTGTAGGGGTTTTCCACAGTGGAGGCCAGTAGGAAGCCAGCCTCATGCGGAGAGCAGCAGCGTCCAGCGTCCTGGCTGTATCTTTTTTGACTGCAGACTTTTTTTTTTTCTTATTGACAGGCAGAGTGGACAGTGAGAGAAGAGAGACAGAGAGAAAGGTCTTCCTTTTGCCATTGGTTCACCCTCCAATGGCCGCTATGGCTGGCGCGCTGCGGCTGGCGCACGGTGCTGATCCGAAGGCAGGAGCCAGGTACTTATCCTAGTCTCCCATGGGGTGCAGGGTGCAGGGCCCAAGCACTTGGGCCATCCTCCACTGCACTCTCTGGCCACAGCAGAGAGCTGGCCTGGAAGAGGGGCAACCGGGACAGAATCCGGCGCCCCGACCGGAACTAGAACCTGGTGTGTGCTGGCGCCGCAAGGCGGAGGATTAGCCTAGTGAGCCGCGGTGCCGGCCTGACTGCAGACTTCTAGAACAGGCAATCACATTGTGCCCAGAGACTCAAGGTGTATGACAGGTTATTGGACTCAGTTTTCATGGATATTTATGCTGAATATATATGTACATACATATTCCTTTGAAAAAAATATTTATTATTTGAAAGGCAGAGTGACAGAGATAGCTTCCACCTGCTGGTTCACTTCCCAAATGGCCACAATGACTGGAGCTGGGCCAGGCTGAAGCCAGGAGGCAGGAACTCCATCCTGGTCTTCCTCGTGTGTGGCAGGGGCCCAAGTACTTGGGCCAGCAAACTAGCACTTAGATATGGGATGCTGACATTGCAAGTGGTGGCTTAACCCACTGCACCACAATGTTGGCCCCTAAGTATGCACATATTTTCTTTCTCTTCCATCACAAGCTCTTGTCATACAGCACCTGTTCCTTCTGAGTTTCTTTTTTAAGATTTTTTTTTAGTATTTATTTATTTGAAAGGCAGAGTCACACAGAGGCAGAGAGAGAGAGAGTCTTCCATCTGCTGGTTCACTCCTCAAATGGCTGCAATGGCAGGAACTGAACTGATCTAGAGCCAGGAGCCAGGAGCTTCTTCCTGGTCTCCCACACGGGTGCAGGGGCCCAAGGACTTGGGCCATCTTTTACTGCTTTCCCAGGCCATAGCAGAGAGCTGGATTGGAAGAGGAGCAGCTGGGACTAGAACTGGTGCCCATATGGGATGCTGGCACTGCAGGTGGTAGCTTTACCCACTATGCCATAGTACCAGCCCCATGATTTACTTTTTATTTATTTGAAAGGGAGAGAGAGAGAGAGAGGTCTTCCAGCTGCTGGTTCACTCCCCAAATGGCTGCAACAGCCAGAGCTGGGCCAGGCTAAAACCAGGAGCGTGGAACTTGATCCAGGTCTCCCATGTGGGTGCTATCTTCTGCTGCTTTCCCAGGTGCATTATCAGGGAGTTAGATCAGAAGCAGAGCAGCTGGGACTCAAACCAGTGCTCATATGGGATGGCAGCGCTGCAGGCCTCAGCTTACCCCCTTGTACCACAATCCTGGTCCCCCCTTTCTGAATTTTTAAAAAATATTTATTTATTTATTTATTTGAAAGTCACAGTTACACAGAGATAGAAGGAGAGGCAGAGAGAGAGAGAGAGAGAGAGAGAGAGAGAGAGAGAGAGATCTTCCATCTTCTGGTATACTCTCTAATTGGCCACAATGGCTAGAGCTGTCTGATCCAAAGCCAGGAGCCAGGAGCTTCTTCCAGGTCTCCCACATGGGTGCAGGGGCCCAAGGACTTGGGCCATCTTCTACTGCTTTCCCAGGCCATAGCAGAGAGCTGGATCGGAAGTGGAGCAGCAGGGACTCGATTGGCACGCATATGGGATGCAGGCGGCAGCTTTACCCACTAAGCCACAGCGCCGGACCCCGGAATGTCAATACAAGTTCCCTACAAAAGAATGTTTACCATGTTGCCCCCGTTTGCCCACTTAAGCTCTCACTTTTTTTCCCACCTTTCTTCTTTGGAAGACTGGTTCAGAGGTATTTGACTCCGTCTCTCTGGTTGCAATTCCTAAGAACCCAAAGAAAATCCCTTTTGCTTTTGTCATTTCTGAGTTTGTGTTGATTGACAAACTCAGGCCCTCACCAGACATCAAGCCTGCCAGTACCTCGACCTTGGACTTCCCAGCCCCAGGAGTGTGAGAAATAAGTCGCCATTCTTTGTAAATCACGCGACGTCAGGTTTTCTGTTAGACCAGCACCAAACACAAGGAGACAGCTGGGAAGCCCTCTTTTAGGGACTGCTTCTCACAGACTTAGCTCCAAAGCCAAAATGACTTTTTCTTACATTAGCCATAAGCAAACTGTAACGTCACGAGCTGCTTTGTGAACTTAAACCTTAAACTAGGTTAGGGATGCTTCCTTGTGAATGCACATTCCTATGTGTATGTTTTTTTCTGTCACCAAATGTGTCTTTTTTTTCTGATACCAAATATGTGTTTTTCCACACCAATAATCCAATTCGCCAACAAAAATTGGGTGTCTAGGGCCAGCGTTGTGGCATAGTGATGGCTACTTCACCTCCAATGCAGCTGCCTGCTAATGCACCTGGGAAAGCAGTGGAGGATGGCTCAAGTGCTTGGGCCCCTGCACCCACGTGGGAGACCTGGAAAAAACTCCCGGCTCCTGGCTTTGGATCAACCCAGCCCTGGCTGTTGTGGACATCTGGGGAGTGAGCCAGTGGATAGAAGATCTCTCTGTCTCTCCCTTTCTCTCTGTAACTCTATCAAATAAATAAATCTTAAAAACAAACAAACAAACAAAAAAAACTGGGTGTCCAACAATTAAATCTAATTCAACACAATTGTGACACTGTCACACTGGAGTTAACACAGGGAAAGGGCCCGTCTCACAGGGCTGCCGCTGCTTCATACACCTGCAGTAAATGGAGCCTCAGGTGACTCACACTTGGCCAACTACAGATCTGAGGGTCCCACACCCTCCTCTCAGGGTTGATAATTCTCAAGAATCGCACTGAGAGCCGGCGCCACAGCTCAATAGGCTAATCCTCCACCTGCGGCGCCGGCACACTGGGTTCTAGTCCCGGTCGGGGCGCCGGATTCTGTCCCGGTTGCCCCCTCTTCCAGGCCAGCTCTCTGCTGTGGCCTGGGAGTGCAGTGGAGGATGCCCCAAGTGCTTGCGCCCTGCACCCCATGGGAGACCAGGAAAAGCACCTGGCTCCTGCCTTCGGATCAGCGTGGTGCGCCGGCCGCAGCGGCCATTGGAGGGTGAACTAATGGCAAAAAAGGAAGACCTTTCTCTCTGTCTCTCTCTCTCACTGTCCACTCTACCTGTCAAAAATAAAAAATAAAGAATCGCACTGAGGAAAGGTGCCCAGCTGGTGCCTATTGCTTTCTTACAGAGAACACAATTCAGGAACAGCCAAACGGAGGAGATGGGGTGAAACAGGTGCACCCAGAACTCTTGGAACCTCATTCTTCAAGATTTCCTATAACTTAGAGACGGCACTGTGGCACAGCGAGTTAATCCGCCGTTCAATACTGTAGTGTCAGTTCGAGTCCCAGCTGCTCAGCTTCCAATCTAGCTTCCTGTGAATGTACCTGGGAAAGCAGCGGAAGATGGCTCAAGTGCTTGGACCCCTGCCACCCATGTGGAAGACCAGGATGGCATTCCTGGCTCCTGGTTTTGGCTTGTCCCAGCCCTGTGTGCTGTGGCCATTTGGGAAGTGAACCAGTGGATAAAATATTCCTCTATTGTTAGGCCCTCTGAGTGAGGATGCTAACACGCCGAGAGGCACACCCCAAAGACTCAGAGTCCAGACCAGCTGATGCAAAAACAAGAGGATTTATTCGGCGTCTGCGCAGACAGGCCTCCTGAACTCGGGAGTCCAGAGAGCGCCCCCAGCACAAGCCACACGGTTTATATACCGCAGCGACCAATCAAAAGCACTATAGTGTCCATGCACACAGCAGTCCAATCCGTGAGCTGATCATGTGAAGGGCATGCGTCTTCTATCCAATCAGCTACGGGATCACATGGGAGGTATGCACCTTGTCACCATTTTGTTGTTTACTTCTTTAGTAGTTCCTTTCCCTGCCAGCGCCATCTTGTTCACCCTGAGGGGGACGACGTCTCGCTCCCTTCGTTCCCCTGGAGGGAGAGCAGCGTCCCGCTTCCCACACCGTTATTTGAGCATTAAGAGGCATACAAACTGGGTTAGGTCTTAGCACAGCCAGGCACAAGTGTCGCAGCTAGCTAAGCATAGGGTCCCTTATTTTTATAGCTGCACCTAATTTTAGCTCTGGGGGGAAAAGTTTAGGGCTATAATTTTTAAACTTTAATTTTATTTGGGGCAAAGGTAACTTCTTGTTTTTAGTGGTATTGGCTTAGGTCACTCCATCTTGGTTTGATTTTAAGGTTCTTCACTATCTCTCTGCCTTTCAAAAAATTAATCTTTAAAAACAAAACAAAACAAAACAAACAAACAAACAAAAAAAAGAATTTCTTTAACTCAATCTCTAGCCCTTCACCCATCCCTGGAGGTCAGGAGGTGAGGCTGAAGGTTCCCATCTTATAATCATGTTGGGCCTTTTGGGTGAACAGCCCCCATCCTGAAGCTACTTATGGGCCCCACACCATTACCATTAGTTCAGGTGTATTCAAAAGAGGCTCCTATCACCCAAGAAATCCCAAGGGTGTTAGGAGCTCTGTGCCTGGAACCCAGCACAAAGACCAAACACGTATTTGTAGAAGACCACACTAAACTGTACAGCTCCTGTCATCTAGGATGTTCATAGGTTAGAGGCAAAAACAAAAACAAAAAACAAGAGTCTGAACACAATCAAGGGACCTTCAAAAGGTTTGTGGAAAACAAAATTAAAAGATTAACTTCATTCTGGTGCAAATAAATTTTGATGTCTTTTTAAAATTTTTTATTTGTTTAAGATGTATTTATTTGAAAGGCAGAGTGACACAGAGAGAGAGAGAGAAATAGAGGAAGAGACCTTCCATATGCTCGTTTATTCCCCAAATGGCTGTAATGGCCAGGCTGAAGCCAGGAGTCAGAAACTCCATCTGGGTCTCCCACATGGGAGGTAGGGATCCAAGCACTTCGGCCGTCCTCTGCTGCCTTCCCAGGCGCACTAGTAGGGAGCTGGATCAGCAGCAGAACTTGAACTGGTGCTCCAAAACGGAATGCTGGGGTCACAGGTGCCACAACGCAGGCCCCGCATCCCTCCCTCTGTGCAGAACTGCCTGCCATTGCCAGGACACTCACACCGCCTCCTCTTTGCTTCTGCTCCGCCATCTGCTTGGAATGCCTTTCTTCCCTTTTAAAATAAAGATTTATTTATTTTCTAGAAAGAGTTATAGAGAAAGAGCAGGAGAGAAAGAGAGAGACAGAGAGAGAGACAGAGAGGTCTCCATCCACTGGTTCACTCCCCAGATAGCCACAACCAGGGAGCTGGATCGGAAGTAAAGCAGCTGGGACTTGAACCAGTGCCCGTATAGGATGCTGCACCACAGGCAGCAGCTTTACGCACTATGCCACAGCCCTCTCTTTTCCTATCCAGATTGCAGGTGATTAAAAGGGCTGTGGGACAGAAAACACTTTATTGCCACGGCAGGTCTTCTACAACATGGTACTCTAATTTGCATTTATTTCTACATGCCATGGATGCTCACTCAATAGCTGCCCCTGGTCTATAGAACAGAGGTCAACCTCATTAGACAAGAACAGGACAGGACACGGTGGTAAACTGGTGGTGGAAGCAGGGACCGATGCTCCTCGATACTCACCCTCTTTGGAAAGAGAAGCTCTTACTTTGACTGCTTCTGGTTTACTCTGCCTTCTGTGCTGCTCAACCTGATCTCATTGCTCACACTTATAATTCTATTAATAGATAAAACTTGGGGCTGGTGCTGTGGCACAGTGGGTTAAGCTGGCATCCCACGTGGGCACTGCTTCAAGCCCCAGCTGCTCTGCTTCTGATCCAGCTCCCTACTAATGCACCTGGGAAGGCAGCAGAGGATGGCCCAAGTGCATGTGCCCCTACACCCACGTGGGAGCCCTGGAGGAAGCTCCTGGCTTCAGTCTCTAACTCTGTCTGTAACTCTGCCTCTCAAATAAATAAATCTTTCAAATTCATGAAAAAGTAGAATTAAAATATAAACATTTTGGCACCAAAAATATTGAAATCCATGTATAGTTTGTTCAAATCTGCATTTTATGAACTTTTTGATGACCCTGCATGTATACAGTCATCTGTCAGTATCTAGAGGGGATTTGTTCCAGGAACGGCCACTGCCCCAGAGAAACTAAAATCTCTGGATGCTTAAGTGCCTTGTACAAAATGGTGTAGTATTTGCATGTAACCTATGCACACCCTCCTGTATCCTTTGAATTATTTCTAGCTTATTTATAATACCTAATAAAATGTGAATGCCAGATAAATAGTTGTTGTACTCTACTGTTTAAGGAATGGCAAAAAAAAATGTTGGTACATGTTCAGTACAGGTGCAGTTTTTTTTCCCCCAAGTATGCTTGATCCATAAGTGGCTGAATCTTGAATGCAGAATCCATAGACATGAGATTGAAAGCCATGAAGGCGGAACAGTCCCATGATCCACGGCTGGCAAACTGGAGGCCCAGGGAGCCAATGGAGAAGCTGCCGTTCAAATCTGAAGACGGGAGAACTCCGATGTTTTAGCCCAAAGACAGGCAGGCAGAAAGAGCCTGATTTTTGCTTACTGCACTTTTCCTTTCTCCTAGTCAAGCTTCCAAGATTGGAGAAGGCTCAGACACATTGGAGGGAGTAACTTGCTTACTCAGTCTGCTGATTCAAATGTCAGGCTCCTTCAGAAACACCCTCAGAGAGACCCAGAATAATATTTAACCAACTATCTGGCCAATCAAGTTGAAAAAATTAACTGCCACAGGGGTGGGTGTTTAGCCTGGTGATCAATGTGCCCGTGACCCACATCAGAATACCTGGGTTTGACACCTGGCTCCAGCTGCTGGGTCCAGTTTCATGCCAGTGCAGACCCCTGGGGACAGGGGTGATGGCACCAGTAATTGCATTCCTGATATTCACAGGGCAGAGTGGGATTGGGTTCCCAGCTCCCAACTTTGGCCCTGGTCCAGGCCCAGTTGTTGCATGCATTTGGGAAATGAATCAGCAGATGAGGTCTTGATATCTCTCTCTGCTTTCCTAAAACACACACACACACACACACACACACAACTAAAAAGCTGTGTCTACTGAGCCTAATAGAGCAGTCATCCCTGAACATTATGGAGTAAATTACATTCAACCCTTTCCTTGGCGTTAGCACCGTGCAAGAGTTGATTGTATACACGCATTTACTTGGCCTCACTGTAGAGGCGCTTGAAGGCTAGTGGCCAATGCATCATAATCTCCAGTGAGAAGAGAAAAAGGCCAAGGCCTCAGAGGATGGACTTCTCATCTGCCTTCTGTCACAAACCATCTCCATCCCTTGACAAATATCTCTGGTCTATGTCAAGCCCCCAGGGATTTGAAGTTTGCCTAGCAGAATTTGAAGGCACAGAGCTTCCTCTAAGCCAGAGAAACCCAACCTTAGACCCTAGATCAGTTAGCTTGATCAATAGTGACAGCCACCACGGGGAAATGCCTTTTCAATTGAATTTTTTAATTGAAAAAAAAAATCATCTAAATTTTGCATTCTATACCCCATTATATTCATATTTACTCCTTGCAAAATATTTAAGTAAAAGTTGATGCTTCCTTTTTATCCCCTGGCCTCAATACCCTGTAATATCGGCTCTCTATCTGTAGGAACATAAGAGTAGAGAAAAGGCAAGGCCTGGGGCTCTTCATGAGGCACCAGTGACAGGACAACCGTTATGATCAACGTTCTGCTTTCGTCCCCTACCGTCTCTTCCTCCCTCCCATTGGTCAGATGGAGAATAGTGGAACACAGGGAACGGAGCCCATCTGCTCCATGTGTCAAGGCCAGTGGTAAAACAGATCAGGGCAGCGACACGGAGAGCTGGGTGCATCTTCACGCCCTAGCCACGATTTGGCGGTAGGGCAAGGTGAGAGGCAGAAACCTGATAGCCGGGAGTTTCGGTGTCTATCCCAACCACCTACATGTCCACACCACAGGCCACAGTCCGCAGGCACGTTTCCTTTGATCTTACGTCCATATCAAGGAAGTTGGATCCTTGAAAAAAAAATAAAAATGAACATTTACCCATCTCAAAACCAGTCGGATCTCCTGCCATTTATTTTTAGTTCTGTGGATGTGTACAGATCACCAGCAAGACAATAAAGAATGCAGATGCTTCCATCATTACCAGCTAATAAATTCTGGCTGGAAAGCTGCTGGGGACAGTGTGTTCTGATGACCTTTGCTGGGGGAGATGCTGTGTCTCTGAGGAACAGGGAAGAGCAGGTGGACTGGGGCTGGTTATTCTGAGAATGATTCCAGCGCATTCTGAGACAAGGCTGGAGTCAGTGTGGAATGAGCCAAAGAAGGGATTCTCAGGGCCCTGCTCAGAAAAGCGAATATGACTCTGTGTGTGTGTGTGTGTGTGTGTGGGAGGGGGGGATAGTGGTGACTCACAAGGACGAGGCCAGGGAAGCCTACTTGTGGGTTCTGAACCAGAAAGGGGAGACTCTGGCCCTGATGGGGTCTGTTTCCAGAGGCTTAATGGGCATCCAGTGTTTTTTCCTATCAAGAATCTACTTCTCTTTCTGGTTAAAATTCGTCTTGAATTTCCCTCTCTTAAGCCAATTTTAGTTGGGTTTCAATTGCCCGCAAGTGAAAAGGTCCTAATCAAGCTATGGAAAATCCAACAGAAGGAGGATTAGACCTAAAGCAGATCTAGGTTTTTGCGTTGGCTCTGTTGGAGCCTGGCTGTGACCTTGAGTGATCATAGATCCTTTCTAGGCACAATTAACCCATGTGTAAAGTGATTTTGACTTAGATCCCTTTAAGTCTTCATAAATTACCATAAATAAACACTTCACCAAGTGATCGCCAATATTCCCATGAAAGATAGGATTTTTTTAAAGATTTGTTTATTTGAAAGGCAGAGTGACAGAGAAAGAGAGAGAGAGAGAGAGAGAGAGAGCGAGCTTCTATCTGCTGGTTCACTCCCTAAATGTCCACAACATCTGGGGACTGGACCAGGCTGAATCCAGGAGCCAGGAACTCCATCCTTGTCTCCCACACAGGCGGCAATGGCCCTCTTCCGCTGCCTTCCCAGGTGCACCAGCAGGGAGCTGGATGGCACACGGGGTCGTAAGCGGAGACTTGGCTCCTCTTGTATTTCATGAGCTCCTAGGTCCGTTTCAAACTCCAATAGGATGAGATTGATTTTCAGCTTTGCAACTTTTCTTAAAATTTCTTCTCAAAATTGTCAGTTTTTTCATCGTCACTAACCACTATCCATCCTTTCCTCTTCCACAGCTGAGAGAACATAGTGCCTGCTACACTGAAGACAAGTTTCCCGCTAAAGGAAATGTATTGAAGAAAACTTCCTGAAAACCTACTCCAACACAAACAACAGCCTATTCCTGACACAACTCCAAATCCCTTACAAGTTTAGTAGTTAAAAAGCTAACCCTCGGGGCATAGGAGGTAAAGCTGTCGCCTGCAGTGCCAGCATCCCACATGGGTGCCAGTTCAAGCCCAGCTGCACGACTTCCAATCCAGCTCTCTGCTATGGCCTGGGAAAGCAGTAGATGGCCCAAGTCCTTGGGCCCCTGCATCTGCATGGGAGATCCAGAAGCTCCTGGTTCCTGGCTTCGGATTGTCCCAGCTCCTGATTGGCCTAGCTCTGGCTGTTGCAGCCATTTGGAGAGTGAACCAGTGGATGGAAGACCTTTCTCTCTCTCTCTCTCTGCCTCTGCCTCTCTGTAACTCTACCTTTCAAATAAATAAGTAAATAAATAAATATTTAAAAAAAAAAACCTAACCCACTTAAGCTTCACAACAACCCAGGGAGACAGGCACAATTATTACCCCATTTTACAGATGAGGACACTGAGGCACAGAGACAAAATGAGGAAGCCACAAAACCATACGCAGTCGCCTTGGGCTTGCCTAACTCCACAGGGGCCAGTCTAGAGTGGATGCGTGTGTTTCAGGCTTGGGACGTGCAGAGCAAGTCGACACCTCAGATCCTGTGATTTCCCACCTGTGCTGTTGCCTGAAGCCTGCCACCTGTTTCCTCGTGTTGTCAACAACAACCTGAGCCACCATTGGCTTGACGCTCTGAGTGTGAGGCACTCCACCACCAAAATCTCACGAGAGTCCATTAGGAGAGGGGATTACTATTCGTTTCTATTTTGTAAGACATAACTGCAGATTAGAGGAGTCACGTGCCCAAGGTCACCCAGCTGGCTAGGATTTGAACTGAGGTCCTCCTAACTCCACAGCCCCTACTCCTAACCCAGGAAACAAAGGAGAGATTTGGGGGCTGGGTGGCCGGAGCAGTGGAGCCTGAGACGGAGCAGCCGGTACCTGAGGGAGACTGTCTTCCGGCATTTCCGGGGTGGGGCGGGGGAGGGTGGGACATGCTGGTGCTTTTAAGGAAAGGATTTTCTCTGGAGAGCTGGGCGGTCTTGCACAGCAAGCCCGCCCTGCGTTGGTCCTAGGTGGCATCCTCACTGGCAAAACGGCCTGAGCCTCTTTCTGCCTCTCTCCTGTGTGTATCTGGTCCAGCGAGCCACTCCTACCTTCCACTCCTGTAGTGAGCACCACCCATGGGCATAAGGGAGGATCTGGGCCCCTGGGAGTCCTTCCTGGGCCAACAGGCTGGGAACCACAGGCAAGGAGCCCGGACGAAAGGCAGGAACCTCCAAGGGCTGTTCAGCATCGTGTGCTCCGCTCGAAGTCTTCATTTGCACCCGAGACTTGAGATAAATTTTTAACTAGTGTTCCAGATGAATTCATTGTAAAGCAAATGAAACTATCCCATGGAAATATACACAAGATTCTTCAAGGACTTGGTAGACTCATTAGTAGACAAATGTAGTTTTTTGATAGAGAAGCTACTGTGATTTATACTGGAATCACCTTCAGTAATTAACAATTACAAAAAAGGAGGATTATGTCCCCTTTTGCAGTCAGAAATATACAATTCCAGGAACACTCACTCTATTTTTTGGAATGAAGTGTTGCCCAATCTAGAATCACAAAATAATATCAATCAAGCCCTTTAACAAAGCAAAGAAGAGAATGAGAGGAGGGAAGAAATGAGCCCAGATCAGATAGGAGCTGAAACCAGCACCAGGCCCAGATCGCCCCTCTTCCAGGTTCCTGCCCCAGCCCATGCGCCTGCATCTTCTAGAGTCTAACCCAGGAGAGGGCACCGGAAAAAAGTATTTTGGGAAAACCAGGGAGGTTCAAGAGAGCTCAGGGATGAGACCTGGAGGCTGTGGCCAAGATGGCTGAAGGGGCCTTGGTGAGAGGTACGGGAGGGGGCGCTAGACTGAGCAGAAAAGATCCTGCCTGGAAAACTGACTCCCGGCTGTCCTATCTCAGCCCTGACTCCCCTGGCCTCAGCCACACTTGCCTTAGCCTATCAACTGAGGGTTTCATAGCCTGGCTGGGATGGAGCGTAAGAGCATGACTGCTTTGACTGTGGAATGAGAAGATGGGCACCATGGCTCCCGCCCCTCACTCTTAGCGGCCCTCTCTCTCACCAGGCTTCTCCAAGGCTGGTACACGGCACACCTGTCTTGGGGTTGCTGAAGTTGGAGATGGAGATTCTGCCCTGATTCCTCCCTCTTCCGCACTCACCAGCCCATCAGGAAGTCCTCTAGGTAGGAGGGCTCCAAAAGTTCATGGCAAATGGGAATTAAGAGATACATTTATTAGGGCCAGTACTGTGGTGAAGCGGGTTAGGCCACAGCCTACAATGTTGGCATTCCAAATGGCGACTGGTTCAAGTCCCTGCTGCTCCACTTCTGATCCAGCTCCTGCTACTGCGCCTGGGAAAGCAGTGAAGGATGGCCCAAGTCCCTGGCCCCTGCACCCCTCACCCAGATGAGGCTCCTAGCTTCTGGCTTCAGCCTGACCCAGCCCATTGTGGCTGTTTGGGGAGTGAGCCAGCAGTTGGAAAATCTCTCTTTCTCTGTAACTCTACCTTTCAGAGAAATACAATACAATACAATACAATACATGCATTAAAAGATACATTTATTGTGGTGCAAAAATTGTGAAATCTATGCATAGACTTTTCAAACTGCAGTTTAAAATTTTTTGAAGACTCCTCATAGACAAAGATTTTAAAATATTTTAATTTTTTATTTATTTGGAATGCAGAGAGAGAGAAACAGAGAGAGAGACCATCTCCTGCTTCACTCTCCAAATGGCCACAACAGCCACAGCTGGGCCAGGCCAAAGCCAGGATCCTGGAACTCAATCACATGGGTGGAAGGGGCCAAGGACTGGAGTTGTCAGCTGCCACCTCCTAGATACACATTAGCAGGAAACTAGACTCAGAAGCAGAGCTAAGACTCGAACCCAGGCTCTCCTACATGGGACTTGGACCCACATAACTGCTGTGCCAAACAGCTGCTCCAGGATTATGATTTTTTTTGGTGCCATAATAAACTTACTTTTCATTTTCCCACATACTTTTTGAAGGACCCTTGTCCAACCTTCCAAATGGGCCTCAAACCTCCCCAGCTCTCTCCTTCTGCTCCATCAGCAGGTCCGTGCCAGCATCCCTTTCATCTGGATACTGTGGACTTTCCCACATGATCTCCTGCCTCCGATCCCTGCCCCAACAGCCTGTTCTCAGCCCCGCAAGCCACAGTGATGCCTGTGCCTTGCTTAAAACCCAGCGCTGTGGCGTAGTGGGTAAAGCCACCGCCTGCAGGGCCGGCATCCCAGGTGGATGCTGGTTTGAGACCTGGCTGCTCCACTTCCCATCCAGCTCTCTGCTCTGGCCTGGGAAAGCCAAGTGCTTAGGCCCTTGCACCCATGTGGGAGACCCGGAAGAATTTCCTGGCTCCTGACTTCAGATTGGCTTCAGATTGGCCGTTGCGGCCATTTGGAGAGTGAACCAGCAAATGGAAGATTTTTATCTCTCTCTGCCTCTGCCTCTCTGTAACTCTGCCTTTCAAATAAATAAATCTTAAAAAAACAACAACAACAAAAAAACAAACCCTCCAGTGATTCAGGCAAAAATCAAGATCTCCAGACTTCCAGACTTGGTCCACGTGATCTGGCCCCTGCCCACCCCTGCAACCATCTCATGCCACAGGCTTTGCCCCTCACTCCCTGCACTCCGCCACCTTGAACCTGGGTTCCCTGGACACCATGCCCATTGCTCTTCAGAATCTTTGCACCTGTGTTCCCCAAGCCTAAAGCTCTTCCCCGTCACCCAGGATCAGCTCAGAGAGGCCTTTCCCTGGGAACCTTCTCTGCTGCAGAACCCTGTTTATTTTCTGTCACAGCCCCTGTTTATTTCCCTCTGAGTACTCATTACAATCTGATGATGTCACTTCCAGACGTCGCTCACCTGCTGATTATCTGCCCCTTCCCCTGGTCTGCAGCCTCCAGGAGGGTAAAGGTCACGGCTGGCTGTTCCTGGCTGCACCTTCCTAGCACAGCGATTGTCATCTGGTGGGCGCTTGAGTAACGCTTTGGGGTGAAAGATGAAAGGCCCATTATGCAAAGCACAGCGGGGCCCCGGCCATCTGCCAGGCGTCTTGCCCACACTCTCCCTTCTGCTGTCTCCCTCCAGAGGCCAGGTCACTGCACAAGAGGCTGAAGGAGTGCTGCACCTGCTCTCTGGGCTGGTGTCTGACCCTGCAGGAAGGATCTGCAAAACGGTAGAAGGTGACCGTGGGTTCTAAGGTGCTTATAAGGGTTATAAGATGGAGACTGGGGGCGAGTGATCCTGAAGGAATTCCTGCCCGAGCCTGGTGTCCAATATGAAAAAGGGACTCCCTCTGCTAGACGTTACAGGGCTGTCGGAGACTGGGTGCCACCTAAGCAAGCAGCTTTAGGATACCCAGGGTGACAGCCAGTATTTCAGAGCCAAGGGACGGGAGATTGAAAGGGGGAGTGGGTCCCCACCCCCAGGGCTGCAGGCTAGGCCTGGCTCCCCCAACATCCCCAGCAACTCAGCTACCTGCGTCTGCTGGCCTGGGGTCTTGGGGTAGCTGGCCAACCTGGGTGGGACAATAGTATCTTGTGACAGCCACAGATTCTGGCAAAAAGTCCCAAGGCTCTGGGTAAGAGTGGTCTGTAGGTTCCAGGAAAGAGGACGCGAAGAAGCAAGGGTGCTCAGATCAGCCCCTGGGGAAGGAAGCCCTGCACAGCCAAAGCAGCTCAGAGCTGCATTAGCAACTCGTCCCATCAGACCTGTGTCCCCTCCCCATCTGGAAAAGGAAATATTCAACAGTCTCCAGGAGGCTGCCGGCTGGGCTCATGCTTTGCTCATTTCAAAAAAAAAAATTTTTTTTCGGTATCAAAATGTGTGGTCAGTGAGTTGTCCTGTTGCAAGGACTACACTCCCAGCCGGCATTGCCCCCACGGAGCTGCCAAGGACACGGAGGGTGAGGCGTATGGGATTCGCAGTCCTGTGACAGATTTCAAGGCATAAATGGCCTTGAAGTCACCTGGGGACTGTGGGGGCCGAGGGAGAAGGAGGGAAGAGGCAAGGATGACTTGAGACAAGACTCCGGGGCATCTTTGTGAGTGTTCTGTTAGCTTTTCAGGTGACTTTCCTGGGAGTTCAACAAATAACAAAAAATCATCTGATCACAATGAGTTTTAAAAACAATTCATAGGGATCAGCATTGTAGCAAGTAAAGCTGCCACTTGCGGTACCGGCATCCCATATGGTCACCAGTTCGAGTCCTAGCTGCTCCACTTCTGATCCAGCTCTCTGCTGTGGCCTGGGAAAGCAGTGGAGGATGG